CCCCTCCCACGCGTATTTTACATGGGCTTGGCTCTCTTTTTGGACGTCCTCTTCGTGTGGACAATGCCACTGCGGTGGGGGCTCATCCTTCGGTTGCTAGAGTTTTGGTAGAGCTTGATATCACCAAACAATATCCTGATAAGGTGTAGTTAAGCCATGAAAAAATTGGTTATTTTCAAAGCGTTTTGATGGATGAATTTCCATCCTTTTGTGAACATTGTAAAGCTGTGGGTCACTCTAGGAAGGATTGTTCTTCACTTCACCCTTGCGTTGTTCAGGGTAATCGGGGTAATAAGAATGTTGTTGGCGATGTTATTGATGCACACATGATTCCTAGCGGCAATGGTGGTGTTGATGTGCACGAAATGGAGGCTCAAGTGGTTTCTGAAGAAGCTTTGTCCAACCACTTGACTATCGAGAACTCATTGGCTTTGCCTCATACGGAGAAGGTTGATAGTGTTATTGTGGATTTGGATGCTTCTGTGCATGATTTGGAGACCTTTCCTATTGTGCTTCCTCTAGCTGAGGCGATTGTGAATGAGGAGAATGATCATTGCCTTGTCAATAAGCTTTTGTTGAATGTTTCACCTAAGAAACTAATGTTACCTCTCTTTTGCTTACTTATGATCATGCTCGGGCTTCTCTTCCTTTGCAACCAAATGGAGAACCCTTTATTGAAGTTCCAGTCTCGCTTATCTCCAATGAACAATTGAAAGTTTATTTGAAGGATAATGTGAAGGGTAGCGTTTTGGATCAAAATGATTGGTTGGAGCATTCTACCTCCTCGTATGGAGAAGATAGTAGTGATCCTTGGGTTGATTTAAGTGAAATGTATGTTTTGAAGGTTGGTAACTCTGTTGCTAATGATTCCTCGCATGGGAGGGGCAAACGTGGCAGGAGGAAGTCCAAATGGTAGTTTTTGGATTACTTTTTTGGTTAGTTGTCGATGATGTTTTGTTGGGGGTCCCAGGTTAGACTAAGATTTAATTTGGGTGTTATTGTTGGTGTCTCTTGCTTTTCTGGTGGTGATTCTATTTTGGATGTTGCTTGTTTGGTCTGGTGCTTGGACAACAATGAGGCTGCATTTGGCTTCCTCGTGTTGATTGTGGCTTGCTAGCAATCTTGGTGCCCTAATGGATTGATTGGCACGTTGGCTTGCCTCACTAATGGATGAACTTTGCCTAGTTGATTGGGGAATGTTGTTTGTAGCATTTCCTGAGTCTGTATGTTGGCTTGCCTTTTCTCTGATATTCTTTCTTTATCTGTTTCTATTGATCTGTCACTGTATTTTCACTTACTTTTGAATAAAGTAAAAAAAAATATTGATATGAGCTTAAAAATCATTAAATATATTTTAAAATTAATGATACGTAAGAGAAATTTTTATTGCACTAATTTTTAATATCATAATATTTTGAAGTAATTTATTATATTCATTGGAATCTATTTAGGATGAAATAGCATGCGTCTTAGGAAGCCTTAGTGGCTGTTTGGTTTTGCTATATTAAGGGTGGGTGTAGAGTAATTTAAATGTAGGGGTTTTGATAAGTTGGGTGTTTGGTTGAATAAAAATAAATTCTAAGTAAAGAAAAGCAAATGAAGTGTGTTCCATTATAGTTCATTTTTTGATGTATTTAAAATTTCTCAGATTTGAATGATTTCTAAATACCTTGCAAACTCAAGGGCATTACCACCCCTTGCCAGCCACCTCCTCCCACTAGTAGCCACCACCAATTGGTCAATCGCCACTGTCGGCCACAACCTCCAACCACCACTGCAGGCTACTGCCGTTGGCCCCCATCGCCGACTGCCACCTCCGATGACAACACCGACAGCTGCATCAGGCCACCATCGCCAGTCACTACTGCCAGTCGTCGCCTCCAGCTACCACTGTCAATAAAAAAAGTAATATGTCCTTGACAAATAATTTTTTTGGATCCTATCTTCCGGAGTAATTATTGTGGCCGAGCACTGAATGTGTCCAGAGACCAATAACAAAGCATCACGTCACTTGGGCGCTCGGTACACTCGGTATGCTCGATATTTTGTCCGGACATAATAACTTTTATTTCTTCAGATGATGTATTTTGCGGCATACTTCTCTACCATAATCTGCTACTCATTTTTCTAGCTAGACTCCATATATGATATGATTCCATGCCTTCTATCATTGATACATATATACATATATTTGCTTCATCATGTCAAACTAGAATGATAAAATCATGAGATCTTGATCAAGTTGACCGTTCATCTCCATCCACTCTATTTCTTTTTTTGGAATATGGAGAACTTTTGCAACCTTCCAATTATATAATTTAAAATTCTCAAGTGAGATTATTCTATACCTAATTACTTAAAATACCTCCAACAAATTCCTTAATACAACCAAAGAAAACCTCAAGTTCTCTTTGAAATCTCATATTAATTTCTGCTCCTCACACTCCTAATGGAAAAAAAAACTTAGAAGTGCGAGCTTACGACTCTTTCAAAAGATTATTCTGTGCGGATACCGGACGGAAAGAATCTAACCGTCCGATTTATCTCTGTGAACAATAAAAGCGCAACTCAAAAACAAATTGAATAGTTCTCCCCATCCGATATCTGTAGAGAAATTCATCCTTTCAAAGAACGGCCACATGATACCATCACACCTTAGTACCACGCTCAGTAGACTCGATATGCTCGATATTTTGTCCGAACATAATAACTTTTCTATCTTCAGAGGATGTATTTTGTGGCATACATCTCTACCATAATCTGCTACTCATTTTTCTAGCTAGACTCCATATATGAAATGATTCCATGC